TTTCCCAAATTCGGCAGTCTCGTAAAGAGTATTTTGGTGCAGGTACGAGGACTTAGCAATATATATTTCCAAAGCTGCGCACGCAACACATACACATTTTTTGCTGATAATCATCGACATGATCAAGGAAAGGTGAAACACCGATCTGCTGAAAAAGAGAAGCAAATGTGCATTGGAAGCCAAAAAGTACGTTTTGTGTAGGTACGACTGTCCCTCTGGGTGGTTCACTCGCACGTCTGGGGGCTCTGCTCGTTTGAAATCCTACAGACGTCACAGGAAGCTTGCCAGCTTCTGGGACAGGGTGGGAGCAGGGGAGAGGCCACAAAAGAGGCTAGAAAGGCTGCGTGTCTGCAGGGACTACCGCCGTCCGACACGGGAAGCAGCCTGGGACTCTAGTGATGCGGGCATTCCTTTCACGGAACTGTTCATACATGGATTTTAACCCACGACTGCAAATGTCCTAACAGGAGTGCTGTGGGTGTGGAGTAAAACCACTGCAGACCCCCCCAGGGGCCCAAATCTTCGCCCCTGCTCTGTACTGCTTCAGGACACACACAGCTCAGCTTGTAAATGCGCCTTCGCCCCGGGCCCCGAGCAGGTTCTGCCCACCTGCAGGACAGATGTGCCAGGAGACAGGCTGCATCCGCTGCCCGAGTCCCCACGGGAAGGAGTTCTGGTCACCCACAGTGGCAGCCAATATGACAACACACCTTTTCATCCTCTTCCTTCTGTTCCCTGTCTTCCTTCACCTCCCACCTACCCAGTTTCCTGGATTTCCTCCGAAATAAGCCACCTCCACTCAAAGCTTTCACCTGCATGGGCCTCTGGAGAAGCCCCATCGCTGCAGGAAACATGCATGGGTCAGGCTCACGTGCACAGATGGGCATAGTGACCCTCGTGTTCCTACGCAGCAGGCCTCCTTCGCTCTGTTCCAGGGCAATAGCACGGAAGAGTTTTGGTGGACCCTACGATCTGGCAGCTTGGTAGCTAGAAAGGCGCTTCATCCTAACAATGACCCAGGAAGGGAACTCTCCGTGGAGAAGCGTTACCATTTCTAGTTTCCACAGAAAGAGACAAAAACCAGAAAGAGACATTAGGATACTGACTTACTTGTAATTGGAGTTTTTAACGTTGAAGACGATTTTCCTTCTTAAGTACTAGGGAAAGGTAGTAGAGAATTTAAATAAGTAAATACAGAAATTATCCCAGCCTCTATTCTGGGCTTTCTGCTGCCAGCAGGAATGGCTGATTGTCTCCAATTTATAATCATGCATGTCTTCTGGGGGCTGACAACAAAAATGGTATTCACCGGGAGGAGGAAAACATGAAACTGAGTTACCAATCCATGTACAACTCTGAATTTTCTGTAAAAATCAGCATTCTAAAGGGTGAGGATGAAGTTATGGGAAAATACACGACTTAAAAGGAAATTAACTTAGTTAATAGCCAATCCATTCTGGCAAACCACAGACTAATTTTGTATTTAAACAGAACCATTAAGAAGAGAATGACAAGAATTTTGGCTTTTCCATGAAAATCAGGATTATGGCCAATGAATACCAGGCAGAAAGCATAAACGAAATGAAACCCATTTTATCAAGTTTTTTTTTCTTTCTCTATTTAATTTTCCTTTTATTTTCATAAGTGTTTATTGTAGATGAAAAAAAAAAATCCCTTCCCTTTTCCCTTGACCCAGACTTAAATTACCAAGGCTGGCCCTCCACCCAACTCAAATACACTTACCCTTTGCACAGACTATTATTTGAGAAGCAATCAATCTTTCTCAAAGCCATTTTAAAGCACTAGAGGACTTACAACGGTACAGTTTCAGTTCTGGGGCACAGCAGGAATGAAAGGGCTTTTACTAAATGAAAATGCACCATTTTTGGAAACAGGGCAGCCTCTGGTGCAATGTTCCATTTCCCGGTTTTACAAATACGCCCCGTATCCATACTTCCATACATCTCACTGTGAGGAACATTCTAGACTATGGGTCTGGCACCCCAGCAAACCGCAAGTGCTAGTGCAGAATTCGTAAGAGGTTCTACTGTAGGTTCAGCGAACATGCATGGTGGAATGGTGGGAGTGTCGTAATTCCGCCAGACGGTCAAAGATTTCCTGCAGGACTTGTCTAAAGGATACGTAACCATTTGCAAGATGGCACCACATCTTTCCCCATTTACTCAATCTCTTCAAGTGGAGAAAGGGGGCTTACTGGGGAAAAACTGTTTAAATGACTTTATTGGGACTTAACTTCCATTCCATAAAACTCACATTACATGAACAGTGTAATGACTTTTAGACTTTTCTGAGTTGGGCAGCCCACATCACCCACTTTTAGAATGGTTCCATCGCCCCACCTCCCTCCTTCCTCTCAGGCTTCATCTCCAGCTCCCCTGCCCTGTTCCACAGCTCAACCCTCGGGCTCCTGTGCTGTTCCATGAACACGGCAAGCTCACTCCTGCCTCAGGACCTTTGCACCGACTGCTTCCAGGAACTGGAATGCTCTCCTTTCAAATTGGTGCAAGGCTGACTCTTTCACCTCCTTAAGACAAACCTCTCTTTCTCAGCAAAACCTTGGTCTACCCTCCCTAAAACTAACAACAAAATACCCCCCCAACATCTCCTCTGTTCTAATCTTTATTTTTATCATCAGTTGTCACTACCTACCCTACTGTACAACAGTATTTTACTTATTAATCTTGTTGACTGCCTCCTCATACCCGCAATTGGCGTAAGTGTGTGTGTCCACAAAAGCAGACATTTTTGTCCTTTCATTCATTTATTATCGCCCATGCCTAGATCAGTGCCTGACACACATAGGAGCTTAACAAATACTTAATACAAAAGGGAATGAAACATGAGTGATGGGAAGGTGAAGACTCAAAACTAACTTTGTCTCTACTTTAAAGTTTCCCCAGGAGGGCACTGGAGGCTCTTGGTGGATTCTACAAGTGGACGATGGTGATGCACAAGTCCGTGAACAGCACAAATCACTGGACTGTACGCGTAAGAGGAATGAATTTAATGGTACGATAATTGTATTTCAGTAAGGTTGTTAAACACCGTTTTCCCATTAAGGCCCATTTCTCCATTTGATGAGATCTGAATAAGGCGAGGAAGGACGTGGTGCCATCTTGTCAATGGTCAGGCTCCCTTTAGACAAATCCTAGAGGAGATGTCGCCAGCCATTTAGCGGATCTATTCCATTTCCATAATTCCGTGATGCATCTTCACTGGAAAAAGAGTAGAATCTCCTGTGTATTCCGTGCAGACATTTTTGGTTTGCAAGAACTGCAAGGACTAGAGTCTGGAATGCTCGGTGTTGGGTGTGTTTGGAAAATCAGGAAATAGAACAACAGCGTAATGGTGAATGCTATGCTTTCCCAACATGGTGCATTCTCATTCAGCAAAAGCCCATTTAAATTTGAGGGGTGCAACTCTAGTTCTAGACTATTCAGGTGCTCAGATATACGGGGGGCATCCCGGGACAGCAAGGCCTTGCGAGTTGCTCAGAATGGATGCCTCCCAGGCAGTTGGCAGCCACATGACCGGCCCTGGGAACTGTCAGTGGAGCTTTGCCCAGATCCCGCCCAACCCCAAAGGTATTCCACATCTGTCTCCAAAGGGCTGGCAACGGCTTCTGTCCGCTGTTTCTGCAGCTGTGACCTGAAAACACCAGACCAGGCAACCGAACAGATGGTACCACATTTGACCACATCGTGCCTGCATCGCATGTGAACATGAAACCAAGGTGAAGAGCTCTCAAGCCTCTTATGGATCCTCGCCTCTGAACCCACTGTTAATGATTTATTTCCCTGGCCTCTCTAAATCATCAGACCAATTGGAGACACAGTCTCAAGACAAGGTTTGATGTCTGTGATTGCACTTTTAAATTTGGTTCGTGTGTTTGCCTCCATGGAGGGAAAAAGAAAAAAAAAAGGCACCTTTCCTTTCCTAAAAGGTCTTTTTTAAAAAAAAAGAGTTGAAAGTGTACAACGTAAGGTGTAACAGAATCCAATATTAAATGATTTCGGTTGCAAGCTTTCCACTTTTGAGACCAAAAATGACATCGACAAAGGGGTTGCAATATGACGTAGTGAGAAACGGACAGACTGGCATTAACACATACGTTTCCCCCATCACGCAACAGAAATGGGAAGTGATGGCAGCCAGCTCAGACACTCCCAAAATGAAAGACATAGGACTGATGGGACCCGTCTTACATCCTTCGTTAACATCACAAAGCATTTTGTTTAAAATCAATCTAAATTAGCGTCCCCGTACCAGGAGAACCGTTGGGGAGTACGCGCATGAGCTGCCCAGCCCCTAGCTGTGACGTGGGCTCTCGCAGCAGACGTGGACTGAACAGAGAAGGCACACAGCCCACTAAGCACACCTGGAGGAAATACACATGGATGTACTGTTTGTGTCTAGTCCAGGGACGTCCACCCCCTAGTTCCACTAGCACACACGAAACTCACCCGAGATGTCACAGCATTAGCAGTCACGGGATGCCAGAGGCTTTCCAATAGCAACGAGATAAGAACCGAACAGAATTAAGAGCAATGACACAGGGGACCCGGGGTTCAAAGTCTGGCTGGTACGAAGCAAAAGAGATTAATTCACACTCGACATAACCATCATTTCAAGAAAAGCTGCACAGTCTCCAGGAGCTCAAACCAAACTCTTCCCTCCAGAAATTAACTGAAAGGTGACTAAGGCAGAACATCTCGAGGCAAAGACGGAACACAAGTTGGTAACGGAAAACCACCCCTTCCGAGCTGAGAAAACCCCGTTCTGTTATCTTGTGCGATGTTGTGAAGGTGAAAGGCCGGTGACGTTCTGAACCTTCCTCTCACACACACGTGGTCCCGTCGGCAAAGAACGGCAAGCCACCTGCTGACCAGCCACACATACGGACAGGGCGCCACCAAGGCTCCACAGCGCGGGTGTGCCCGGCAGGAAGGTGAGCGTGGGGTCAGGGACGCGACACCGACCTTTGGAGGAGCGGAAGTGTTTGCTGGGGGCCGTGAAGCCTCGGGTCCCGTGCACGTTGACAGCCGCCACTCGGAATTGGTACCACCTGCTGGGTCGTACGTCAGTCAGCTGGACCCGCTCATCTGTGGTCTGCGGAGGAATGTCACAGAGCACAGAGAACCCTTTTACCCAGACGTGCCAGTCGGGTGTGTCTGAAAAGCACAGCACCTCGTCAGTCGGCACAACGCCGCCCCGACCTCCCTGCGCCCTTGTGGGTAAGTGCGGTGATCGTGCTCAGTTATGAGAAGAGCAGCCGGGGTCAGGGAATTTCTAGGGCATTTCAGGTGTTTAATTCCACTCCTAGGGACTGCACCCCAAAGAGTTAAAGATCTCTGGAGCCAACGCTAGGAACATGCCTGGGCTACTTAGGTCGGATGACTTAATGTAGCATTAAACCCACGAGGGGTTTCATCACTCAATTACACATCTGAGCGAACGTATACGTGAGCTGATCATTCCATGATAGGCAAGAAGATGAAATCATCTGCCGGTTACGGAAAGAAAATGCCTCTCGAACGTGCTTGCCAAATAGGGTCTTGGAAGTCGGTATGAGGACCCATGCGCTTTAAAGAGCACTAACAACTTCTGGAAGTACATGGCAATGCAAGCCTTTCTTCCTTATTTGAGTAAACCGGGTAAGATCTGCAAGGACCCGGTTGTGTTCCTCCAAGGTGAGGTGTGTAGACATCTGTCCAAGAAAATGTCCGCAGGAATAAAACTGGACACCAGGGAAGATGCCTAGTTTGGCTGCCACTCCTGCTGGAGTTGCAAAGCCATGCTCAGGGCATGAACACCGGCAAGTGAAATGGAACCCAAACCCTCCCAAACCCTACGCTGAAGTAACCTCTTGAGAGGGGCTGTCACCTTTGCTTCAACATCTAAAAGGGAAGGCTCTGAACTCTTCAAGGGGGCTTTCTACCTCGTTTGGCAGAATGTGAGGCGACTAGTTCACGGACTTCAACATTTACTCTTAGTGCCCTTGAGGTTAAAAAACTGAAGTCACCATGATCCCCACAGCATTTAGCAGACAAAGAAAGGAAGGTGGAAGGAAGACAAAGGAAGGCATGAACCAGTGAAAATAATAAAAATAATTAAAAGCCTTTCCTCTCTCCAAAACAGAAGGGATATAAGAGCTGCTCTTATTGTCATTTACTTTCATAAATCTTAAATAATTTGGAAAATTTGTAAGTGAGATCATACCATTAAGGAAGCATACCACATAAATCAAATAAACTTTTAGGCTGTATGCCAGACATCTTTAGGTTTTATTAAAGCGAACTTTAAGAAAATACGTATGAAATAGAATCACTAAATTTATTTGACTAGTGGTTGGGTTTTTGTTTTGTTTTGTTTTGTTTTGCCACTAATTTGTTTCTTAACCTTCTGAGCCACCCAGGCGTCCCTCCACTAATTTGTTTCTTGTACATCAAATTGCCCCTTTCTTTTGGGGTCTCTAAATTATTTTAGTGTTTATCCTCTTTGAGTTACTACTACTAGAAAGGAACCAAATTCCTCCTGCCAACACCTGTATACTGAAATGTATTTCGCAGTTACTGAAAAGGACTAATGGGAATCTCTCAAGCAAAATGACCCGATCCCCGCCAGGTCAGGGTTTCTGCCCACAGACACATGTGGAGAAGGCACTGCGGCTGCTGAGGGCAGGAGGCAGTTTCACACTGAGAATCTGTTCTTTCTCTAAAACCGTGTAGGTTTCTTGCAGCTGGTAGTCCATTTAGCAGCTCTTAAAAAGAAAGAAAATATTTTGCTTTTCTCATCGGCAAGACAGAAAAGGAAGCCGCCGTGCTAAGATAAACCCCAGGACTGCTACCATGCAGGTGGGGTGTTAGTGTGTGAGCTGCCCGGGACACAGGAAACACTTTGCAAGGACAGAGGACTGGCTGGGTCCCCCCCACTAGCTAGTTGGATGATAGGACTCATACTCCATGCTACTCAAGTCCTTGTGCAGAACAAAGGCTTCGATGCGGAAGAAAACTAGAAGTCATTTAGATGATCCAATATCATATGAACTCGTCCTAATGCTGTTGCATTTCTCTTACTTGGGTCGGTTTTAAGTTTATCTCAAGGAAATAGACTTCTTGGAGGAAATAAATGTGAGCACTCAGAAAATGATCTCCCTTGCACATGTATTTTGAGCAAAGGAATCCAAGAGTCAAGCTCCTCGTCGCACCGGGTTGTACCTACGGAGCTCATTCTGTCTTCTGTAGATGCGTGGGCTATGATGTCCCCGTCTGACTAAGTCCTTTGGGTAGTCAGGCTGAGGCACAGCAAGTTAATTTTCTACCTGCAGGAGGGCGATAGACGTTACCTCAAGGAGGAGGGAGGGGAGGGAGTCCGTGAACCACTTACCTGGGCTACCGTCTGCCACTGGGTGGCATCGTCTTCGCTAGGATGGATTCCATAATTCCATCTTCTTTGTACCACGTAGATCACGGGCTCGATGGAAATATTGAATTTCGAGGACCACTTAATCTCCAGCTGTCCAGACTGCAGTTCTGTAAACCGTAACTCTTTTCTGGGCTTCAGGGGGACCCCTGAAACAGGAGCACGGCAATGAAAACAATCGGCGGGTGACGCCAGGGCCGGTCAAGCTGAGGAAGAAAACCTTTAGAAAAGGCCCATCTCATATCATGACCACTGATCCTCACTTCCCTCCAGAAAAGTGGTTCCTCCCCGGCAGGGTTCAAGTTTGAAACCTTCCGATGCGGAGGTCAGCCTGCCGCATTTCAAGAGCATCACCTCCTTTTCTTCTAGCTTCCCATTTTTTAAAGAGGCTCTACATCAGGTCCTGTTTCGGGACAACTATTTTTTTCTCCCCAGTCATCTCGAGAGCAATTCTTTTATGTGCGTTCTTCGGAATAAACAAAGTTACTGAGTTACATCACTGGAGGTTAACAAGGAATTCACATGAGGCCACAGTCACGAAGGCTTTGAAGACCCTGTCCCCATTTACCACGCTCTGTTTCTACTGATAAGAGTCTAACGTCATTATAACATGCTTCCCCAGTTTGCTCGCCTCTCCCACCTCCGAAAGTTTGCCTTTCAAGGGCAAAATTATAAGGCTAAATGCTCTCATGTGGTCAGACCTTACAAGAATGATTTCCAAAGCATAGATCTTTTGCATTCCCCAACTGATTGCAGGGCCCTCTCCTATAGACTTACGGTTTAAAATTGGAAAATGATGAATTTATACTGTTTGGTTTTGGCACGAGTGACCGCCTTGCTTCAAAAGTCCCTCACAGGTGTCTCATTTTCAAGTAGTTAATCATTCTGATTTCTTTTCCCCCCTGCGGTGCATGCAAGTGGTCTGGCGACTGACAGACTGAAGAACCAGAGTTCAAAATCATAGCCATTAAGGAAAGGGAAGTTTAGAATGAAGTTCTATACTCGTATGTATGTAAAACTAACTGGATTAGGTAGAGTCCATGGTACCGTGATGTTCGATGCCATCAGAACCTTGAACACCAGCTGCTATTCGTATCAGTTTCTCCTGAGAATGAGCATCTGCCCAACGCACTGACAACTCATTTGAACATGGTATTTGATAATGCTCTACTTCTTTTTCCATTTCTTCCATTTAAGCAGAAAAGACATTGAAAAATGTGCAAATACAAAATGTTGGTACTATTTGATGCATGTTAGCGATGTCACCGAGTACCAACTCTGATTTTCACTTGGATCTTAATTCATGCTAAGTCTTGTTTGGGGAGGAGGTGGGGATTCTCAAGTCCTGACACATTTAGGTGGAGGGAGTTGCACAGTCTTAAAGGAGCAGCAAATAAATCTGGTCAAAGGTCAGTGAGTTCTACAGAATACTTTCTAGAAAACGCATTCCCCATCCCACTGCAGTCTCTGCTTTGATTTGCTGATGGGTTGACTCTGTACGTTGCCCTTTACTATAAAATTGGTGCCTGAACACGTCCTCACTGAGTTTGTGCTGTGGGTGAAGGGTTAATTATCTACATGGGGAACATCAAGTAATTGAGTCTGGGGAAGATTAAGTTGCCAGGAGCAATGACCTGATCTCAGGTTCCTCTCTGAGTTTTCGGCTTCTTTCTACATCTTGAATTAGGAAGAGCCACTTTCAAAAGGAGAGAAAAGGGGCAGTTTTCACAGCTCTGCACAATCCTGAAAGACTCTGATTCAAATGTCCTTGATGTCCCTGCTTGGTGTGGAACAGGTCTCCCTTTCTGCCGCAGCACGAGGGTTTTTTCTAAGTTCAAGTCATAAACTTTTCTTCGCGGTGCACAACCTTACATTAGGAGTCCCGTTTACTTTTGTGCCTGGAGTATTTCTGCTAAGCAAGGGACTCACAGATCTGTGCCCAGTCCCCATCTGAGCTGCAGGCCCCACTACCGAAAGAACTTCTCCACACAAGTCCCGACTCAAATGCCCCTCCTGAGGGTGTCCCCTCCCCCAGTGATAGCTTCATGACCACTCTATGCTTTTGGATAGCTAAGAGACCTTTCCACTTGTTCTTGGACCCACCAACATCTCTTTGTTGGACTGCAGAGTGTCATTTCAGGAAGCTTCCCATCCCACGTCCCCGCAAGCCCACCCTTTTCTCTAATTCCCTCTTCACGGTATTTTGTGATGATGATTTTCCTAAAGTAGAGGACAGATGGTCTCCTCCACCTTCTCCAGCTATTCAACTGCACCCCATTTTCTGTGGAATGAACACGTGTCACGTCCTCCACAACACATCAGACCAAATTTATGATCTTTCCACTTACCTCGTGGTACCTATTGGTCACACAACCTGCTTTTAAACCCACCTTTTCTAGAAACACACTGCCAGGTACTTCCTACTACTACCAGATACTTTCAGTCTGGAATGTCTTTCCTCCTACTTTCTGACTACGGATACATGAATACTTCCAGGCTCAGAGTGAATGCCACTGCTCAGACCTACTTACCCTAAACCTCCCAGTTGGAAATTAGGTTGGATTCTTCTGCCCCCTCTTCGAAGCTCAGCCTGTAACTGTCCAAATGTGCGTTGAACTGCCTCTTACTACAGAAGCTCCTTGGATGATGTCTCTCTTCCCCATGAAGCTACGGACCCTAGTCCTCAAGGAACAGGTCTCCTTTATTCCCACACCTCACAGTGGCCCAGGAGAGCACATTCTGCAAGAGCAAGTGCTCAGGAAATGTCTGCTGAAGAACAGCCAACCTACTGTCCCATTCCGCACTCTAGAACGTATCTGCGGAAATAAGAGGATACAGAAACAGTGACCCAATCTTTGCACCAATGGCCGACCCCTCTCTGCTGGAGGGCACTCACCTTAGGGAAAGGAGAAAACTTAACACAGGTATTCACTTACCCTTACATTTTTTAAAAAGCAAATACTAAATAATAATACAATAAAACTCTATTAGTAAGTTTACAAGATGGAGTGAATAGTTTTATTGCACCGACAGAACTTTCCCAGTTTAAAAAAAAAAAAAAGACCAATTCCTGACAATTCCTGATAGGATGGAGATCCCAAAGTGTGTTGATGAGTTTTAATCCAGAACTAGCTCTCTAAAGACTTAGGTCAAGAAAAAAAACCTACCAAAGCTCGACAAAATGATTGGTTTGTATCCGGTTTGCATTCCAGGCGGGTCCTAGACACACTTTCTACTGAGGGGGTATGTGAAGAGAGGGTGGCCTCTGAGAACATTTTGTGATTCACGTGGTTTCTTAGTGCACCGTAAAGAGAAGATGGCAGCTTAGTGCTTTAAACTCATAAAGCCCGTTCTCTGAGATTTCCAGTGCAAGTTTCTCCTTGGCTGTCCTATGCATAATCCTCTAGCGTAAATGCACCTCCAGTAAATACTCCAGCCGCTGAAGCAACCTGAACTCATCAGCAGCAAAGCAAGCATCTGAATCCCCTTGCTGCAAGGTTTTAATCTTGAATATCCTTCAACTACCTAGAGCCTTAATCGAACATAATGACCATCAGAGCCATGTCAGTTTGCATTTCTTCATTTAACAATCTCGTCGATTATTATGTACAACAATCTTACCCTTTGCATGTTGAGAAATGGTCCATCTGCTTTGCATTAGGGTCAGCTGGCTCCCTTGATTGGAAGTAACTCCAGCACTCGGCTGTAATTGTGTGCAGATGGGGCTTGGCCCCCCAGCCCCCGGGACCCCAAGCCCCCACTGCCAGGCCTTCTGCACAGTGCTTGGGAGCTCACCCAGCACCCTAGTTGTGTAACCAGATGTGCAGAATGCATGTCTCCTCGGCGTGTTCTTTATTATGGGAATGACTAGACTTTTTCTTCTTTCAATTATTTTTGAACAAACGAGTCATCTGAAATCCACACTATTCTGTCAAAAATGTGATCATCCCACAATATGTGATAATATCGGTGCATTGTCTTTAAAGCATCACAAGTATTGTGGTGAAACTCAATGATTTAAAAAAAATGGGAAAACATAATGATAGAAAACTCAATGATCAGAATCAGCAGTAGCAAATCATGACATTTGATTATTCCTGTAAAAACGTTTCCGTCAGGAGTCTAAATGCTATGCAAATGTAGCTAGACATAGTGTTCCAATGAGTCAATACTTAACCATCAGTCGGTATCTCTCCTAGAGGTCATCAGTACCCATGGAAATTGTGTTCATATACTAGTAAGGTACTGACTCACTGTATTCAAAATGCTAAAAAACTGATTTGTGAATAGTGGGATTAGTCCATGTCTAAAGACCTGAAGTTTCAATATCTCAAATATGAAGCAATTCATAGAAATATTAAGTCCACACCATCATCAGATCTTCCAATTTGTTTGGAAACAAACTGATATGTGATTCACTTTAGTTTATGCACAGGGAAAAGAGAGAGGACGGAGAGCCACAGATTAATCTCAGTCTGTACATGTGGAAAACAACTGCAGCTTTTCTCCTGCCCTACCCTAACCAAATGCCATAGCGGGGGTCAAGAGAAGCAGAAGTTTGGGCGGTAAAATAATATATCATCTTTGGGAGGAAGGAGAGTTGAACTCTGCTGTAAATGGCCTTCAGATAGGCCAGGGGGAGCATCAAAGGGAGAACAAGTGTCCGGATATGCAATTGTTTCATGCTGTACACCTGTGGAGAAGCAGCCTCTCAAACTTTCCGCAACGATGCTACGGCTTGCGTTGCAGGGAACCGGCTGCTCGGGTGCCATTTACCCCCCTTAACGCTTGCACGTCTTGCAGGAAGCTGCTAACAATTTTATTTGGAGGGCAAAGTGAAACTCTGTGTTGCTTTCCTTTGTTTTAAACTCGAACACCGAGCAAGGTTAACTTACTCAGAGGCATCACCTAAGGATAATTCTCACAGCATAAACCAAATTAAATGCTCAAATAGAATGCATTCCGTTGAACATCTTTTCAAAATATGCATAGTTTTTAAAAGCTCAAGTTTGGGGCGCCTGGGTGGCTCAGTCGGTTAGGTGTCCAACTCTTGATTTCAGCTCAGGTCATGATCTCAGGGTTGTGAGATCAAGCCCCGTGTCAGGCTCTGTGCTCAGCATGGAGTCTACTTGGAAGTCGCTCTCCCTCTGCCCCTCCCTTCCACTCTCTCCCTCTGCCCCTCCCTCCCACTCT